GGCAGGCTTAGAGCTCAGATGCTTATCATAAATAAGGAACAAATCTCTGGGTTGGCCACGCCCAGATTTTCTAGCTTGGCACACATATTCAGGTGCATCTGCCCTACAGGGTTATTTTAAGGGTTTGCTTAAATCATCACTAGCAAGTACATTTACCTTATGGGGTCCTATGAACATGTAGAGGGATATATGTTAGGTAATACTAATTACGATTTCTAGAGCCTCAGAAGTTCAGGAAAAGTTGGCAAAAACTTTGAACTTCCTGCTACCATGACTGAGTCAAATGGTTTTCAGAATTCTTTTCTCCCTCTTTCACATAGAATAAAGAAAAAATGATAAACTAAAACTAGTAATAAAACAGTCACCATTTTTCTATATTGTATTCTTGAGACCATGTTTATTGTGACTACCAGGATCTGCACCTTTCCCAAATTTATCGAAAGGTGGCTTTGAGTTTATTGCTAGAGTTTGGTGATAATTTTACACCCAGTGAAGTACCCAAAGAGACCATTTTCTTCCATCTTGTTTTTCAGCAGTGTAAAATGTTACAGAGACAAGGACTCTTTCAATGTTTGAGGCAGGTGTGGTAGCACACACCTGTAGTCCCAGCTACTCTGGAGGCTGAGGCATGAGAATCCCTTGAACCCATATTCTAGTCTGTAGTGTGCAAGGATTGTGCCTGTGAATAGTCACTGCACTCCAGCCTGGGCAACATGCAAGACCCCATCTTTAAAAAAAAAATAGGCTTGGCTACTCTGCTTTATATATAGCAAAAGAATTGTTGGAAATATGTCTTCCTTAGTGTGTCTGCCCATAAAGAGAGCTAGACTCCACAATAACCAATGGTGAGGAAGAGGCCTCCTAACCAACATTTCTGAAATGGCTGAAATATTTTGATAGGAAATTCTGGCTCTTCGAGCTTCTAGAAGACATGCATCTACAAAAATATTAAAGAGATACCTTACTGTTTTCAAAACCCTTGGAGTTTTTCCAAGTTCTTGCTACCCAAGTCTGTCTCTGTCCCTCAGTCTCACACGCGTGCCCACATGCACACGCACACACACACAGCCAACAAAAGCCAGGCTGCAGCCCCAGACTCCAGACGCATGCATCAATCATGACTGCAGCACCCCCGGCAGTCATGTGACTGCTTAAAGACCTCAACAGCCTTCTGGCACTTAAAGGGAAAAAAAAAAAATCTAATTAATCACAGGTGAAACAGCTTGGACTGTCTCCAAAAGCCCCTGAATTTACTGCCAAGCTTTGATGCTAATTTTCTTTCTAAGTAACCCCCTAAAGAAATTTACGATTAGGTAATTAAAGTAATGAATAAAGAGATACTTAGGTGGAGGGAAATTAGGAGAGGGAAAAAGTCTGTATTTCCATCCTGCAATAAACACCTCTGGGTATGCATCATTTGTGAACCCCAACTTAAAGGTTCCCAAGTGGCTTTCTCCTGAAGAATATTTTACAAATCAATATTTGAAAGACCAAAATGAGGCACATAAATGAAGTCAGGAACAGGTCATTCACTAGGGCCTGTTAGGGAGGGAAAGCTGTCTTCTGCCAGATACTTAACTCTTGACTTAAAAAAAAAAAATTAATGTCATAGCTTGTATCCTCTGGGAAGGTTGGTAGTGGTTTCTCTCTGTGAGCTGATTGGATAACATAACATCACTGGGTTTGATTTAGAGATCTCATCTTCCTCCTATTTCCCATGTCCCTGCTGGGATGGACTCTAGATTGCTGGTTTTAATTGGTTGAAAGGCAATTACTCCAGCCCTTTGTCCTTAAAATTGGAAATGTCCAAGGGAGGGCTTTGGATTTTATTATTCCAACCCTGATCCTTCCCTCGATCTCTGACACTTACTATTGGAACACTCCAGGAATGGGGGAATTTTACTTAATTGGTTCCTTTAGATTACAGAATTGAACAGAAATGCTCATGTTTAAATAATTCATCAGACAAGTTTCTGCTAAACTCCTAAACACATAGAGTTTCAACTCCTGCTGAAAAATCTTGGTAGCAACTATTTTTCTGACTTAATAAATATGGCATAATAAGCATAATGCTTTTTTAATAATTCAGAATCTTGAATTTTTGATTGAAAAGCTCTTTGCTCTGATTTATGTATACCCTTCAGGATCATTTACAAGCTTCTTCAAGGAGAGATCAAAGCAGGTCCCCATGTTGTCTCTTTCCCATGTCTAGCAGTGCATGAGTGCCTATTATTTATTACTGCTCGATTGTATTCCAGTTTATGCAAAGAGGGTATGAGAGTTTTTAACTAAATAAACACTGACTGAAAGTGTAATTGCCTGAAAATTTAGGGTTTTTTTACACTAAGTTACCATATGAACTTACATAGTTTTGTTCCCCTCCGGAAAAGAGAAGCATGAAATAGTAGATTTAGAATTTTGACTTGGAAGTGAGGTTGGCGATTTTATAATTTGAAGCTTCATTTCTGAGCTGAGGACACAGAGGCTCCGAGAGGTAAGATGATTTGGCAAAGACACACAGCCACCTAAGGGGTTGTGAAGATCATACACTCTGAAGCTGGATGAATCTGCATATTGTAAAGCTCTTCTGCTACTTACCAGCTATGGACCTGGAGAAACTACATGCCTTCTGAGTTTCTTTTTCTGACCCGTACAATGAAAACAATAATATTCTGAAGATTAAATGAGCTAATATAAGAAAGATGCTTAGCATCATGACTACGATGTGATAAACACGAAAAAATACTTTAGCTCTTATTGGTTTTATTTATTCATTATTTATAGGGATCTTGTATTAAATGATAATTTTATATTTATTTAACAAATTTATTTTCATTATTCACAACCCCTTATGTCATTTATGGCGATGTAGGTGAATTATTTTCATCATTTGCAGTCCAAAGAAGGTGGGGTCTTAGTCAAAAGTGGTCCTTTGGTTGCTCACAGCCAGATGGGTGTAGAAATTCCCGTTTGCAGGAGCTGGACCAGAGCTCCAGTGCTCTGCATAAGAAAAAGCTACCCATTTTCAGGCAGGCATGCTGGCTCACACCTGTAATCCCAACATTTTGAGATGCTGAGGGGAGCAGATTACTTGAGGCCAGAAGTTTATGACCAGCCTGGCCAACATGTTGAAACCCAGTCTCTACTAAAAATGCAAAAATTAGCCGGGCGTGGTGGTGCTCACCTGTAGTCCCAGCTACTCAGCACACTGAGGCAGGAGAACCGCTTGAACCTGTGAGCCGAAGGTTGCAGTGAGCTGAGAGAGCACCACTGCACTCCAGCCTGGGCGACAAAATGAGTGAGACTCTGTCTCCGAAAGAAAAGAAAAGAAAAGCTACACATTTTAGAGGTTTCAAATTCAGTGCTCAGGTCTCAAATTCCTAATGTAGATAGAATTCCTAATGTTACCAATGTAGAACAATATGAGATTTGAAACTTATTCTTAATTGAGGATTAAAAAATCTTGTCCCCACATTTCAGAACTTGGTGGAAGGTAGAGGCAGGGGTCATTTGAGGATGTGGGTACCTCCCCACTCCTCCCGAATCAGCCAGAGTTGATGGCCACCATCCATGCTGCCCAATCTCTCTGCTCTACTTCCCAATCCTAAGAGCCTTAGGTCCTGGCTCTCCTCTGAGTCTTTATCTGAAAGGCTAGAGAAGTTGGAGAATCCTGCCCAGTAGGAATTAAAAATGACAAAACAGCCGATTAGATCTGAGGTGACAAGAATGAGAAATAAAAGCCATTACAGCCCATTTGCAATGTACCCTCAGTGAGTCAAGTTTCAAGGTGTTCCTCTAAAGATTATTAATGGCGTGACAATGTTTTCTGGGCTGGAATCTGATACGTGAAATAACACCGGTGTACACACGCTGCATTCTCGATGGTAAGAGGGGCCTGCCCTCATTTATTTAGTTTCACATTTTTAAAGAGATGCCCTAATTCAGCTGTCAGGGTGAGGGTCAGTGTGAGCACCCAGCACTTGAAGAAACAGATTTCCATGGTAAATAGTTTTCCTGTATAGCAGGGGTCGGCCACCATGGCCCAGGGGCAAACCTGGCCAGTTGCCTAATTTTTGTACAGCCAATGTGCATAGAGTGTTTTTGCACTTTAAAATGGTTGGTAGAAAAATCAAAACAAAACTATGTCATGACCCATGGAAATGTGAAATGTATGCCAGTCTTTATAAAGTTTTATTGGAATACAGTCTCCCTCATGTGTTTCTGCATTGTCTATGGATGCTTTTGGACCACAACAGCAGAGTCCAGTGGTTGTGACAGAGATGATGGGCCTGGAAAGCTTAAATTATTTACTATGTGGATCCTTACAGAAAAAGTTTGCCAACCTGCCTTGTGTAGGGTAGCTTGGCCATGTTATTAACATTGCTTTTGCAAAAAGAAAAGTTGGCACAACACAGAAAAAAACTAGAAGGGTTTCCTGTAGCAGACTATAGCCTCTATTTAGAATCACAGCATGGCAATCAATTTATCCACACTGTCCAGGGACAAGCCACTTAATCCCAAAAGCAGCAAGTTCCAGATTTTGTGAGAAGTCACTGGAGTTAAGGTCCTCCAGGTCCCAGGTGGCCATTCAGTCCTAAGGAAAGCCAACAGCTCGGAATGGCATTGTAAACATCTTATTCTTTCAGAAGTCACCTCAGGCTAGTAATTAAATATCCTGTGTAGTCCGTTACCTTACAAATTACTTGCATTAATAGGGATAGGTGAGAGCTTCAGAGAAGGCATCAATCCTAATTATTTTCATCTCCACCTCTGCCTCATCATGCATCCCAATTTAATTTTTATTCCTAGACTTTTTTTTGCAAGAATTAATAAAAATGGGATTTTATTTCTTTCTACATAATTCCCCCCGCCACACAAAAAAATAGCTGTGGCCCTCAACTAGTACTACCAATTGTATCCAAGATACTTGTTATCCTAGAGTGATGTATTGCTTACAAATTCACTTTCTGATAAATTTATTATTCTACTTTTATAAACAGGAGCAATGTGGTAATCCTGAGATGAAGAAAAATGTTGCTGTTGTTTGGACAACCCCAGGGAGGATTGACAGGGAAGAACCACACTCACCCTGGATGCCTTAAATGCCAGTCTCCATGAAACCAGTCATGAAAACTCTCCCTCCCCGACATGCTCAGAGGGCATTAGGAGCCAGTGTCTGGCAGCTTCTTATCCAGCAGGACAGATGCAGCCACGTGTTCACAAACAACACAGAGGAGAAGGTAGTTCAGGTCCAAGAGGAGGGACTCATGACAAACAAATGGAGAGGCCTTCTAGGAAAAGGGCACAGTGGGTGGCAACTTAACAAAAGAAGGAGAGTTGGAATTGAGTGGCAGAGAGGGGCAGATTGCACCAGTTGGGGGGAAATTAATAAAGATTTTGAAATGAGAAAACTCTTAAACACTGAGCCATTTAAGATCTTCATTATAGTGATGGCTCTATCCAGTAGGGCTGCTATAACAAAATACATTAGACTGGGTAATTTGTAAACAACAGAAATGTATTTCTGACATTCCAAGAGGCTGAGAAGTCCAAGATCAAGGTGCTGGCAGCTGCAGTGTCAATGAAGACCCACCTGTCAGTCAGTGCTTTCCCATAGCATTTTCATTGGGTGGAAGAAGCAAACTTGCCCCCTCAAACTCTTGTAGAAGGCATCAGTTCCACCCATGAATCTGGAACCCTCAGAGCCTAATTATTTCCTAAAGGCCCCACCTTTTAATGCTATCACATTTGTGGTTAGGTTCAACATAGAAATTTGGGGGGGACACATTCAAATCATAGCAAGCCAGCTGGTCACAAAGCCAGTGTCTTCATTTTTTTAATTGAATGCTCTTTCAAAAAAGTGTGCACAAAGAACCTTTAACCAGTGTCTCAATTGCTAGAGGTAGGAAGCATTGTAGTACGTGATCTTTCAAACATAAAATGCTTCTTGGGTAGTCCTATCTTTGGTGAGGTGTAGGAAGAAAAAGTAATTCAAAATCCCGGCAGATTTTGAATCCTGCTTTTTTATAACAGCATGAGACAAAGTTTGAGCACTCTCACCCCTTGACTAACGGAAGCTTCAGTTTGGGGGGGCTCCCCTGCAGGATAAATAATCTATAAATTGAATTGTGGAATGCAGCTCAAGGGCCACCAAAAAGAATTCTGAACCAAGTGCAGGACCAAATCATAGAAATGACATTTCTTCTCCTTCAGTCTTTAATTGTTCTTTCTCATAGGTCTTTGAGGTATTTCCCTTCTTTTTTATAGTGTAGAATCTCTTATTTGTGAATATTAAGAGATTTCAATCAAATGTGGAAAAAAACTTATTTGGGATTGTGATCTCACAAAGGTATAGATGAGAGGGGAAGTGTGGGGTTAATTTAAATGACTTCAAAGGGTCTTTTTTGTTTTCTCTAAATGTTTCTCTTTTAAAAATGCATCCCTGAGTTATAAGCAGGGAGTCACATCAAACTGGATAGGAATTGTGAGAAACTCAAGTTAATGGTCTTGCAAAAGTGTAGGTCATAGGGAAATCTGACAGAAATTGTGTCCGAAAGTGGGAACTTTGACATAATACCCAATTCACAAATAATATCACAATCACTTCAGAGCATCATAAGAAAACAGATATCCTATGAACAAGAGGCTCCATTTCAGCACTGCCCCCTGTGGCCTCCTCCTGAGGGTTGTCAATAGTTAAATTATAGAAGGTTGATTTTTTTTTTTTTTTTTTTTTTTTGAGACGGAGTTTTGCTCTTGTTACCCAGGCTGGAGTGCAATGGCACTATCTCGGCCCACCGCAACCTCCGCCTCCTGGGTTCAGGCAATTCTCCTGCCTCAGCCTCCTGAGTAGCTGGGATTACAGGCACACGCCACCATGCCCAGCTAATTTTTTGTATTTTTTTAGTAGAGACGGGGTTTCACCATGTTGATCAGGATGGTCTCGATCTCTTGACCTTGTGATCCACCCGCCTAGAAGGTTGAAATTTTATGTGACCCAAGTCCCTGCCCCAGATGTCTGTACAGCTTTGCATATGCCATCAAGTTCCTGTCCTTTGGGAAATGCAGAGGAATGTTATTGTCATTGGGATTATGCCCAGTGCTTCAGAGTAAATTTCCTAATAATTGAGACCCCTGCCAGGCCTCCCACCTGGTCATTTAGCTAATAGAAGGGCAACCTCGCTGGAGAGGTTGGCAGTGAAAACCTTGTTCTGCTCATTGCCTTCCAAATAGCTGGTATAAATCTTCTAAGAGGCCTGAGACCACCTCTAGCCCAGAAAATATCAACAGGGAACTGAAGGTGAAAACAATTGCTCCATTTAGGCAGAAATGTGTATTTCTATATATAGAAGGCAAGATACTCCTCTCTCTTCATACAGCCATGAATACGTATGTGCTGTGTAGGGGAAGTATTTCTTTAGGGGGGAAACCCCACTAATCGGCAGTACGCTATTATTATAATTAAAAGCCTCTTTAACTAGAACAAAGTTTATTCCTGCAGAAACTCAGAAGAGGGCGAGGTGGTTGCAAGTTCCACCCACAAATGTCAGCAGGCCTGAACTTGCCTTCCTCCTCTCCTCTCCTCTCCTCTGACAGTCACAGGAAGCCTGAAACCCTTTGACACCTCAGCGATGACAGATCCTCCCTGAAGGCTTGACAACCGGCAAACAAATGCATTGTTCTCCTTGTCAACTCGCTATTGAAAGGTGATCCACAGCGAGCTGCAATTGGCCTCATTTGTTAGTGTTAGCAAGTGTTGGGCTGAAAGCTCATTACCCTGAAAAAAGAGAAAGCAGAACAAGTTCCTGAAATCAGGCTACAGAATCAGATACCTGTCAGCGAGGCCTGAGCAAAGGAAGGCACCACCTCCAATGGGTGAAGAAGCCTGGCTTGTCCCACCCTCTGCTGGCCCCATCCCCACCTCGAACATCTCCAGAAAATGGAATCACAGGGCTATTCTACACCAGGAATGTGAATTTCAGTTTTCTTGTCCAGTTTTCTTTCAATCACTACACAGGGCCTCCCTATGGAGTGAGAGAACCAACAGACTAGGATTCTCAGGAGCACTTGGAACCTGTGGCCTTCTATGGCAGGCGTGATTGCTCCACCATTGGGGTCCCCATAAATCTTGAGCCCTTACTCATTTCAGCATCACACATTGAACTGCATTGTGCAATGTGTATGGCTGCTTAGACGTTTATGTGTCAGGCTATCTTTATGAAACTGAATTCCTTTAAAAAAGGGGGGGGGGGAGTGCCAGGTGTGGTGGCATGTGCCTGTAGTCCCAGGTACTCAGGAGGCTGAGGCTGGAGGATCGCTTGAGTCCAGGAGTTCTGGGCTGTAGTGTGCTATGCCGATCAGGTGTCCACACTAAGTTCGGCATCAATATGGTGACCTCCTTTTGAGCAGGGACCACCAAGTTGCCTAAGGAGGGGTGAACTGGCCCAGGTCAGAAACGGAGCAGGCCAAAACTCCCATGCTGATCAGTAGTGGGATCACGCCTGTAAATAGCCACTGCACTCCAGCCTGGGCAACATAGCGAGACCCCATCTCTAAAAAATACATTAAATAAATAAATAAATAAATAAAAGGGCATTTGGGGCCTGTCGCAGTGGCTCATGTCTGTAATCCCAGTACTTTAGTAGGCTGAAGCAGGCGGATCACTTGAGGTCAGAGTTTGGGACCAGCCTCGCCAACATGGTGAAACCCTACTAAAAGTACAAAACTTAGACAGGCGTGATGGTATGTGCCTGTAATCCGAAATTCTCAGGAGTCTGAGGCACAAGAATCTCTTGAGCCCAGGAGGTAAAGACTACAGTGAGCCAAGATTATAACACTGTACTCCAGCCTGAGCAACAGAGCAAGACTCTGTCTCAAAAACAAATAATAATAAATAAAATAAAGTCAGGGGTTTTGAAGACAGGGATGGGAGCATGGGCTTTGGCCTGGTTCAAAAACTAGCTGTACCATATCCTCAGGGTTAACTCTCAAATCTTTCCAAGGTTCAATTTTCTACCTACACAATAAAGAAAAGAAGGTAGAGGGTGTTATGGGCTGAATTGTGTCCTTCACCTAAAATTCATATGTTGAAGCCCTCACCTGCAGTATCTCCGAATGTGACTTTATTTGGATATAGGGCCTTCAGAACATTGTTCAGGTTAAATGAGGTCATCAGGCCACCCTGATGCCTTAATCTGATATGACGTCCTTACAACAAGAGGAAATTAGGAACTGGACATGCACAGCAGGAGGACTATGTGAAGATACAGGGGGAAGAGGGCCAGCTGCAAGCCAAGGAGAGGGGCCTCCCCTTTCCAGACCTTGATCTTGAATTTGTAGCCTCCTGAATGGTAAGAAAATGAGTTTCTGTTCTTTAACCCATTCAAAGTGCAGGACTTGGTTATGGCATCCCTGGTCAGTGAATACAGGGCGTCATGAGCTACATTTGGCCCTAACAATCCAGGCTTTTTGTTTGTAACTTTGAGGATCACACACCCCTTTGAGAAGGTGCTGGAGGCTACTAGGGACCCTCTGGGAAAATGCATATAGGCATAGAAGTTTGCAAACCATTCAAAACCTCAGTGATCTAATTATGGTTCTTAATGCCCTAAGGCCTCTGGAAACTTGATTGGCAATCGAGAAGGAGAAAGGGAATTCCTAGGTGATAATGAGATGTTTCTGAAGGGGTAGGACACGGTCAGGTGAAAGAGTTAAAATCTGGGGGGAAAAATAATGCAACTCTCACTTCAACTCTTATTCCCTGAAAGGTACTTGAGTCCTTTATTTTAGGGGAGAAAAAAATTGATTCTCAGATTCCTCCGATTTTTTTGTTTGTTTGTTTATTATTATTATCTTTGGAGACTTCCGAGAGAAGAGCTCCTCAGGGCATTTTTCTTACTTTATCAGCTTTGCTTAAAAGCACAAATAAACCCGCCAAACTTCATGCGCTATGATATTCAGGGACATGAGGGACATTTTTCTTTTCTGCCCACATCTAAAGAATGAAAGCATTTAGGCATCTCACTTTGTACGAAGTAAAATGGTATGAGATGGGCAAGGAAATGATGTGACTTACATTACAATTCTAAAAATCTTTCGCCTTTTCAAAGTCACTGCAGTTTCACAGAGATTTAAAGACCCAGACTTTCACTAGAAAACTCTAAGTAAGACTTGACATGTTTCTTCTTTGCCTTCCCACCCTGGTCACCCACCAACGATCTAAAACTTAGCATCACCACCTGTACTGGATATTACTGTATTCTCCTTTCTCCAGCCCCCCTTCCCCCATTTCTTATTATGTAAAATCAGCAGGTTGAAAAGATCTCTATGGCCCCTTTGAACTAAAGCAAAATTCTATGATTTTATGATTCTCTGAATCCCAGTGCTGCGGTAGCTCTAATTTCAGGCTTGTCTTTAATT